TGTGCTTTTTTCCTTTCCTTGTTGGATAAAATAAAAGTCGATGGCCGACTCTTGCTTACCGCGACATTTTGCAAAAACAAACGCGAAACACAAACCAGCATTCCAAAAACAGTCAGTTATTCCCACCGTATCACAGGAACCCTGCTGGAACTTCCACTACGGTGAATTCTGCTCAAGATGCTGGTTCTGCTCAACCTGCTGCATCATCAACTTCTTCTTCCACATCAACCAATGGTCCAAGTACTTTATCTATGATTCAAGAGCAATATACTCAGATCTTATAGCTACTTCAACCATCTAACTTGAAATCCCCTTCACCTTCCTCTGTTAATTCTGTTTATGCTGCAAATTATGTATCTTATACCTCTCTTCACCCTTCCTCTGGTAAGAATCTCTCACAACCTCCTTGTAATAATTGGTGTATAGTTGACACAGGTGCCACTGACCACATCACCCATTCCTTTGCTAGTTTTCTTTCAACATTCCACATTGCACATAAATCTATGACCATGCCTAATGGTGACACTGTCAATACCACTATAGTTGGTTCTGTTTTGCTATGTGACTCCCTTGTTCTTCATAATGTTTACTATTTTCCTTTGTTTCATGTCAATATTATCTCAGCCACTACTCTGTTTGAATCCACCTTGTATGATGTGAAACTTTACCCTAATTGTTGTCAAATTGTGCAGTTTCTTCATCCCAAGATGACTGGATTTACAGCTAGGAGGATTGGCAAATTGTATGTCCTTGACACCACGTCACCTCAGCCTTTCTCTCCCACATCTGGTTCTGTCAACAAGTCCATCTCTCCTCCATTAGACCCTTCTAAACATGATTCTGCCACTATTTAACATTTTAGACTAGGACACTTATGTCCTCCTATACACAAATGTATTTCTTCTCAATTTCCCTTTGTCACTTTCAATGACAATCATAAACCTTGCAATACTTGCCATTTGGCTAAACAAAGAAATTTGCCTTTTGCTCATAGTACTACTAAAACTGTTGCCATTTTTTATTTAATTCATACTGATATTTGGGGACCTCTTTCCACCCCTTCCATTTGTAGCCATAAGTACTTCTTAACACTTGTAGATGATTACAACAGGTTTACTTGGACAATCTTCATGACAAATAAAAGTGAAACCAGAAATCACTTAGTTAACTTCATCCCTTTCATAGAAACTCAATTTAGTAAGAAAATCAAATGCATTCGCAGTGATAATAGTCCTGAGTTTCTCATGACTAGTTTTTACCTTTCTAAAGGAATTATCCATCATAGATCCTGTGTTGAAACACCTCAACAGAATGGAATCATGGAAAGAAAGCACCAACACATTCTGAATGTTGATTGTGCCTTTTTCTTTCACTCTCACCTCCCCCATAATCATTGGCATCTATCTATACAACAAGATATTCACATTATCAACCGCCTTCTTACTCCTCTCCTGAACAACCTCACCCCCTATCAAATGCTCCATTCTACACCTCCCAGCCTTAACCATTTAAGAGTGTTTGGTTGTCTTGCCTACTCCTCAACATTACATAACCATCGAACCAAATTTGACCACAGGGCAAGGAAATCTGTTTTCCTTGGCTATAGGGAAGGTACCAAAGGCTACCTCCTTTATGATACAATCACCCATGAGTTTTATGTTTCAAGGAATGTAGTTTTTTATGAAACTGTGTTTCCTTTTTCCTCAACCCCAATTGCACCTAATCCTATACATGATAATCCTGATCCTACTTTACTTGACACACCTGAATTTCCCGCCATCATTCCACCAATCTTACCACCTCGAAATGAACCTACTTCTCCTCCCTCTCTCCACCAGCCAACTCCTTCTTCCCCTACCAGCACCTCTTCTTCCTCTACTGACAGTATCTCCTCTTCACTCCATGAACCTACCCCTGTGCCAACCAGAAAATCAAGTAGAACTACAAAACCTCCAACTTATCTATCTGATTACCACTTCAATTTGCTATCTTCAATGCTACCAGCATCTGATTCAGGTAACTCTAATTACCCTCTATCTTCTATACTGTCATATAACCACTGCAGTCTAGATCACAAACATTTTTGCCTCTCCATTAGCTCTCTCACAGAACCCAAAACTTATAAACAAGCTTGCAAGTTCGACTGCTGGAATCATGCTATGAAATCTGAGTTAGATGCTCTTGCATCCACAAACACTTGGTCTGTTGTTAATTTGCCTGCAGGTAAACAATCAATTGGTTGCAAATGGGTCTACAAGATCAGGCATCATGCTGATGGGTCCATTGAATGATACAAGGCCTGTTTGGTGGCAAAGGGATACACTCAGCTAGAGGGTGTGGATTACTTTGACACTTTCTCACCAGTTGCAAAGCTTACCATAATTCGCACCTTACTTTTTGTGGCTACCATTAAGGATTGTCACTTGGAACAACTCGATGTCAACAATTCCTTCCTCCATGGTGATCTGCATGAGGAAGTATATATGGATCTGCCTCCTGGATTCCTATCCCCTTATTCTTCTACCAACAAAGTCTGCAAATTACATAAGTCCTTATATGAACTGAAGCAGGCCAGCAGACAGTGGTTCTCAAAATTATCCACTGCCCTTATCTCCCTTGGATACTCCCATTCATCTGCTGACCACTCCTTATTCACCAAATCACATAACTCTCATTTCACTGCCCTATTAGTTTATGTTGATGATATTGTTCTAACTGGTGATGATTTGCAGGAAATTCATTCTGTTAAACGCTTTCTTGATTGCACATTCAAAATCAAGGACTTTGATAAGCTAAAATATTTTCTTGTTTTGGAAGTTGCAAGGTTTACTCAAGGCATTTTTCTCAATCAACGAAAATATGCTTTGGAGTTGCTTGAGGATAGTGGTTTATTGGCTACCAAGCCTAGTTCAACTCCTTTTGATTTCTCTTTGAAACTTCATGATAGTGACTCACCACCTTATGAAGATGAAATATCTTATAGGAGAATTGTTGGACAACTTCTATATCTAACTACTACCAGGCCTGACATTGCCTTCATTGTTCAACAACTCAGTCAATTCATCTCAAAGCCTATGCAAGTTCATGATTCTGCAGCTATTCAAGTCCTTAAGTATCTCAAAGGTGCTCCTGCTAAGGGTTTCTTTTATTCTTCCTCCTCCACACTCAAACTCTCTGGCTTCGCTGATTCAGATTGGGCAAGTTGCTCTGCTACTCGCAGATCCGTAACTGGATATTGTGTGTTTCTTAGCACCTCTCTGTTTCCTGGAAATCCAAAAGCAGTCCATAGTGTCCAGGTCGAGTTCAGAAGCAGAATATAGGGCTTTGGCTAGCTTAACTTGCGAATTACAATGGCTGCAGTATCTGTTTAAGGATCTTCATATCTCTCTTGATTAACCTAGCTCGGTTTACTGTGATAACAAAAGCGCTATACATCTTGCTCACAACCCAATTTTCCATGAAAGGACAAAACACATTGAAATTGACTGCCATGTCATTCGTGAGAAAATACAAACTAATTTAATTCACCTCCTACCAGTTTCTTCTGCTGCTCAATTGGCAGATGTTCTTACCAAGCCTTTGCCTGCTCCCTCCTTTGATTCACTGATTTCCAAGCTTGGTCTATTAGACATTCATAGTCCAGCTTGTGGGGAGCTATTGCATGATGTAAATAGAAAATCTTAGCTAGTTTTATCTGTTTCTGTTTTAGCTAAATTCAATGCCTAAGTTAGTTAGATAGCTTTCTATATATATTGTCTTCCCCTTGTACAGTAAACAGATTATTGAGTAATACAAAATACACTCCTTTTCATTATTTCTCTTATTCTCATTAACAAAAGTTAAGCTAGTAGATTCAACAATGAGTTCAGGGATAAAGCTTGACACGATTCCAGAAGAAGATGAAGCCACAAAAAACATAGATCATAAGGAAGAGGAATAGAAGAACAAACCATGGGTGGAGGTAATCAGAGGTGATATATTAGATTCAAATGTCTTAGAGATCTGTTACATTGTGCCTATGATTGTTGATGGTGAGGTCGAAGTTCATATCAATGAACAAGACATAGCTTCTGAAATTAAATTCTTGGAAAATTCCCTAACAATGTATGTAATAGGGAGAATTGACAATGACAGCAGTGAAGAGATTTATGCAGGACACTTGGAACTTTATGGCTCTACCATACCTTTACTATAGCGAAGAAGGGTATTTCATTATCAATATGAAATCCAAAGTAGACGAGGAGGTGGTTCTCAGGAAGGGGCCGTATACAATTTATAGGAAACCAATGTTTTTGCTGGAATGGAATCCACATTTCACCATGAAAGAGGATGCAGTTAGAGTTCTTCCCATATGTATCAATTTCCCACAGATATCACTCATGTATTGGGGGAAATAGAGCATAGGGAACATTGCAAGCACTATATACGTAGACCAATAATGACTGACGGATGTAAGGCTAAAAAACTTAGAGTTACTTATGCTAGGGTGTTGGTAGAAGTGGATACCACGACAAAAATGAAGGATAATATTATTATTCAGGATCCTCAAGGTACCAGAATATCTCAACCTATTGAGTATGAATGGCGACCACCTTTTTGCAAGAAGTGTAATAAGGTAGGGCACAATTATGAAAGCAAACAAAAAAGGGAAAAAATGGGCAGTGAAGGAAAGACAAGTCTCCAAGCCTGGTGAACAAAAGAAGAACAATGAGGAGATAAAGCATAAGAAAGCGAGTGCAACTTAGAAAATTCATCAGGTGTATGCTCCAACCTGTTATCCTACACTTGGACTAACAATCATATTACTATAACCATTTATTTCGGGATTGACATGGCTTTGTGAAATAGAAATTGGTTCCTGCAGTACCCTGGTTGTGAGATTGAGGTGTTGAATAAACATATATATGACCATAACCCCCTTTATGTGAAGCTGCAGGGGGACCAGATTGTGTGTAGGACTCCACAACCTAGGTTTAAATTCATGAACAATGTAGTGGACCATGCTAATTTTCTTGAGGTGGGGGCAGAAAAATTGGCAGATTGAGGTTAATGGTACCCCTATGTATAGATTGTTGAGGAAGCTGAAAAGGTTACAACCTTGTCTTAGAGCTTTGAATAGGAAAGTTACTAATGAGGTCAAGAAGATTCATGAGTATAGAGACCAAGTAACTCAAGCCCAACAAAAATTGAATCGGGATCTGTTTAATACTGATTTGATGCAGGAAGTGAGATTGCTATATGAGAAACTTATGCAGGCTAATGAAGAGGAGGATATAATTCTCAGACAAATATCCAAGGTGGATTGGATAAATTTGGAGGATGCTAACAATGCATACTTCCATGCGATTATTATAGGAAGAAACAAAATGAATGGAATACACAACTTAATGGACATTAATGGTAACAATATTACTGATTCTAAAGGGATGGAACAAGAAACTCTGAAGTTTTACAAAGAGCTCATTGGTACATCTACTCAAAGCCTTAGACATGTGGATGTTGAGGTGCTGAGGAAAGGGAAGCAATTACAAGAGAATAGCAGGAATAGTCTGATCAGTCTTATTACTGAAAAAGAGGTGAAATAAGCTTTAAATTGTATTATGGATAACATGGCTCCTGGCATGGATGGGTATAATGCGAAGTTTTTCAAAGTGGCGTGGAATATTATCAAAGCTGATCTCATAGAGGCTTTACAGGAATTATTTTGTAAGAACCAAATGCATGAAGCAATTAATTGTGTCCTTTTTACTCCTATCCCAAAGAGTACAGATGCAAAAAGTATGAAAGACCTCAGACCTATTGCGTGTTATACTACAATATACAAAATTATTTCGAAAATCCTGACCAAAAGGCTTAGTAGAGTTATTAATGAAGTGGTGGATAGCAGTCAATTAGACTTTCTTCTAGGGAGAGTTATACATGACAATGTATTCATGGCGCACGAATTACTTAGAGGGTATAGTCAAAAGCACATATCTCCCCGGTGTACCATTCAAATGGATATCTAGAAGACGTATGATACGATGGTGAAATTATGGTATTGAAAGAACTCAGATGTCCCATGACATGTTGGGACATCTGATCTGACTTAAACAAACACACAAAGTATAAACATATTAAAACAGTATTGAAAAACAATAAACAACACACATGAATTGTTAACCCAGTTCGGAATAACCTTTCTACTCTTGGGACATACCAACCAGTGATATGTCTACTAAAATAGTATTGTGATACGGTGGGAGAACTGACTTGAGTTTTATGTTTGTATTCGCACTTGTTCGGTTTAGCAAGAGTCGCCACCGACTTTTTTATTTTATCCTAAAGGAAAGGTTAAAAAGCACAGGAAAAACCTTTTGAGATGTTTCGTGGATTCGGGGGGGTAGATTATGAAAAGGGAAGGTATTAGCACCCTCTTCATCCATGGTTATCCATGGGCTCTTAGTTACTTGGTTTTAGATCAGTTGTCTTGATTTTTGATTGCTTGAAATGGTGTGTGTATTTGTATTTTGAAAATGTTTTGAAATAGACGCCTTTGTTTCGGCAACCGTTGTAATGACTCGTGTTTGAGTATATACGAAGGTGTGTATCTTTTCGAAAAGATGTTTCAAATGTTTTTTGAAAGTTTGTTTTGAAAGTGTTTGTGAAGTGGGTTTTGAAAAGTAGGCAAGTGTTTTTGCAAGTTGGATCAAATAACTAAGAGTTGTCTACCCCTAAATTTACTCAAAGGTTTTTCCTCATGTTTTAACCCTTTCAACAGTTTTGTTCCAGATTATATTTGGTGGACAATCTTGCGTTTAGGATGTTTAACGGGACAGGCGCGGGTCATCGTATGGACCATGAATGCAATGGTGCCAAGTGTCTTTGGCAATTTGCTTGAAGGGACTATGATCATTTTGATAGGTAACTTTCGAAAGCGTCATCGAGGGACTATGATCATTTGAATTGTTTTGCCAAAGAGACTCGACGTGCAAGCATGACCCATTTTGGAAGGCAACAAGCGGGATTATCCTAGGGGTGCAAGTGTGATTGGGTATTGATTTCATGTATTTGTCTTTGTATTAGGTTATCTAGCGTTTGATTTTATGTACATACAAACCCTAGGCCTAACCATGGCATATTTGAAAGCGATAAATTGCGGGAATTTAAAGTCTACGCTATTACAAAATAGTATCCGGGAGTGGGGGTACAAATTTACAAATGGGGATGAGACTTTAAGTAGTGTAGTGTCCAATAATTTACAACCAAATCGAATTGCGCAAATGTAAAATATAATGTATAACAATGTATAAGAATAGAAAATGTATATGTGTAAAGCAAAGTAAATGTATCGACGTATTTGTGTATTGTAAATGTGTAAGTGTATGATTTATTTACAAGTGAGAAAGTGTACTTATTAAGTATTGCTAACTTAATGAGAAAATTGAGTATTTTATTTATGTATTATTGTATTTTGTTAATGTATTGTTTTATCATGTTTTGTATTTTGTTAATTATGTACAAAACAAAAGATTTTGATAAGAGAAAAGAAAATGTTTTAAGAAAAAGTATTTAACTTTAAAAATCTATTTTTATTATGTATTAACACTCATGTATTTTAATTAGTATTTTCATATACAAAAAGATTTATTAAAAGAGTTTTTTTTAGATAAAATCTATTAACCTAATTATATTCGAATATTCATGTATATAAAAAAGGGTTAAGATATTATTTAATTTATAAACAAATTTAAATTATGCTATAAAAAGAAAATCAAAGAGTTAATAAAAATTTGATGTAAAAAATTATATGTTAATTTAATAAAAAAAAAGAGATATGATATGGTTAAAAAGGGTATTAGTTAGAAAGAATAAAAATGGGCTTTAGTGTTTTAGGCCCAAGCTGAAACAAAGGAAACAAAAGCAAAAAGGGGGGGGGGGGGGGGGTGCTCTTGGAAAGAAACGAATGGGCTTAGGTGTTTTGAAGGGCAAGGCCCATTGTTTTTACAAATTATTTTGCAAGGGTTTTGATGTTTCGTTCAGAAAGGGACTTAGGGTTTGTGAGAACACATAGGCGCGCCGTTCGTTCTCTTCGTCACTTCTTTGTCTTCTTCATCTCTCAAGCCAAAAACTGAACTACGTCCTTCGCCCAAGGGCCACCGATCGCCACCTCTCATCCTCCTCCTCGCGTTTGCTCAAGCAACGGTAAAAAAGGTAAGACTTTTATCCCAACGCATCCTTTGAGGGTTTCACGTTTACGCATGTTTTGACTCTTATATGTTCTGGTTTTTAAGTGTTTTTGTTTGTTTATTCTTTTTGAGGAGCATTAAAGGAAAGAGAAGAAAAGATACTACCTTCGTTGGAGGAGGATGGTGGACGTGGAGGCGCTCAGGCGGCCAAGGCGGAGGCTTGGTGATGATGCGCGCTTTGCTTTGAAACCCTGGTATTCCGTATTTTCTGCCTTTTTGTGTGTTGGTTCAATGATGATGTTTGAGAACCTTAGTTGGGTATCACTTCTTTTCTTCTTCTTTTTATGTTGGCTTCTGAGTTGCTTGTGTGTACTTGTTTATTGCTGATATGCTTTCATCTGAGATGCTGAGTTGCCTTGATGATCTTGAATATTGCTTTTTTCCTTCTTCTTCTTGTGGGCTTCTGAGTTGCCTGTTGATGTTGGTTATACTGAGTATGCTTGTTGATGTTGGTTATACTGTATTATTGGCCCAATGATGAAACCTTTCTGAGGGTTTTGGTTGCTTCAGTTTGGGGCTTGACAGTTTGTATTGTTTGAGGACTTTTGGCTTTTAGGCTAGGAGCTTTGAATGGTTGCAGGCCTTTGAATCAGGTAAGGCTTTGGTGAGGTTTGGATATGCTGTTTATGTTTTTGGCTTGGACAGGGTAGGTGTTTTGAATAGTGAGGCTTGGTGTTGTGAATTTGTGTTTGGTTGATGCAAGGCTTCAAAGGTTTGATGTCTTGAATGTTTTGTATATTTGTTTGGATGAAAGGCTTCTCTTAGGCTTTTTGCAGTAACAGGTTTTAGCAGTTTAAGCTTGAAGGCATATGCAGGTTTTGGAGACAGTTCTATGTGTTCTTTCTGCGTTTGTGTTTTTTTGGTTATGTAACCTGCCCTCTATGGTACTGTGTTGATATCATTGTTTTATATATCTTGTCCAGCCTAAGCCTGTAAGCCTCTTTCTTCTTTTCTCTCTAGTACAGATTAAAGCATAAAATATTGTTTAAAATCTCTCCTTTTACTGAAAAAGCACTGCTGGAAAATGATGACTTTTGAAGAGTTTGCTTGCAATAGTTGTTTTACACTGCATACTTTTATCTCTTTTTCCATATTTTCTGCTTCTTTGTGACAGCATTTTGTACTTGTTTGTACTTGTCTGGGTCACATCTTGAACTATATCTGGAAGCAAATCTGAATGAGTTATAGAATGTCGCCAAATCAGGGTCACATCTGAAACTATCTCTAGAAGGAAATCTTGAATAAGTTATAGAATGTCGCCATCTCTGGGTCACATCTTGAACTATATCTGGAAGCAAATCTGAATGAGTTATAGAATGTCGCCAAATCAGGGTCACATCTGAACTATCTCTAGAATGAAATCTGGAATAAGTTACAGAATGTCGCCAAATCTTGGGTCACATCTTGAACTATTTCTGGAAGGAAATTCTGGAATAAGTTACGGAATGTCGCCAAATCTTGGGTCACATCTTGTACTATATCTAGAAGGAAATCTGGAATAAGTTACGGAATGTCGCCAAATCTTGGGTCACATCTAGAACTATTTCTAGATCTTGATTTTGCTAAGGGTCAGAAATTAGGAGTATACCAATCTTCTGAGGTGATGAGAATCTTCATGCTTGAGAGAAACATATTTTTAGGAGCTTCAATTGTCCGTTATTCTGTTGGTGGTTGTAACTTCCAGCAGGTGATGAAGGAATTGTTGAACACTTTTGACATTTGAATGCCCCAAGTGATGATGAAGGAGTCTTGAATCAGATTACTCTGCGAATTGAGAGATTTCTTGAAATCTTGACTGGACTGCCCCAGGTTAACTGAACTTTGAAAGATCTGTTGAAACCTTGACTGGACTGCCCCTTGTTGATAGGAGACTTGTCGTTGGAAGTGTCATCCTTTTGAAGTGATTTTAACTCACTGAGAGAATTTTCGTTCTTCCGAACATTCGCTGTATGAATTTCTTCGCTGTCAAACAAATAGCCAAATGCGAACAGTGATATTCAGGTAATGCAAAGTTTATGTTTGTCTCGAAGTTTTGAAAAATGCGTTTTTTAGCAGAAAACTTTTCATAAGACAAGTCAACACAAGATTTAGAGCAAAGCCTTACAGGAGTCAGGATACCTTTTGTAACAGTATGCTTTCGAACTAACCCAAGCTTCAATTAGGACTTTTGAAGGGTTGTAACGTGGCCTGGTTCACGGTTTAAGAAACAAAGGATAAAGGCTCAAAGTGTATTTGTACCCACCCGCTCTTCGTGATGTTCTTCAAACCTAAGCTCAGTTAATTGTGCGTCGCACTCTATTCGAGTTTGGAACGACTTTTTGGGTGATGGTTCACCAGCTGAATTTGGGAAGACAGTC